CCTTTGAACCAGAAACTTGAAGGCTCCAGCCTATTTCACCGCGCGATAATGGAGCAGTGAGGCTCGTTAAAAATGAAGCAAAGGCGTCCAGCCAGAATCAATCAGTCTCCTGTGTGTTCTTCACCTGACTCAATTAAGGCTTTTTCATAAAGCACCAACTTAATAGGACTAATGCAGTGCGGGCAAAGAGACGGAGAGGAAACATTAGGCAGAGCAAGATAGAGACAAGGAAGGCGAGAATCAACGAACAGCAGCAACTTAAATAAGAAGTGTTTCGGCTTAACATCATAGATTTGTTCAATCCAGTCGTGTCAAGTTTTGATATGTTTACAGTGCAGGGGAAGAGATTAATCTCGGCGTGCACTCAACTGATCAAAAGAAGTTGGCTTCGTTTGAATACAGGAATTGTCCTGTTCCACTAAAGCTGACGACTGTATCACCACAGTGATGGCTGATAGTTGAAGACCACTGTTGCTTGTCAGGACTGCACCCTAGTGCTGAAAATGTGAACTAATACAGTGCATCATCCTTCAAATCAACCCCTGCAAGGCCGGTTCACAATACATGTAATTAGTTGATTAGTCACTTAGTGGTTTTAATCAGCCAGATCATGATTGTGCCACAACAAGCGCTCCCTCAACTCTTTATTGTCCAAAACGTCTTTGTGAAAACGCAAAGAAATGTGACACTGATCTGGTGCGAACAAAGTGTTGCCACACCGTGTCGACGGAACGAAACGGGTTACATTTGTATGGAAAGTAGCTCAGATAAAACAGAACATTATTTTTGCTTGTTGCAGCAAGACACTGACAGAGCTCTGTGTGGGAAGATAAAAGCACATTTCCTTTCAGTGTTGTAATTGCTGCGTAAGCTTTCCTTGCAGATCCTTCACCGTGAACGCATATGGATTTATTGATCCAGTGCAGTTTTTTGGGATGAGTTTTTCAGATGCTACAAGCGCTAAGCCTGTGGTCAATCTGATGTTTGAGGAAAGCATTTATTTTTTTATTTATGGTTTTAAAGATGATCTATTTTGGCCTTTTTTTTGTCTTTATTCAAATGGTGCAGTGTCGAGATACCGCTGAAAGATGTGCAACAAAGGTCCGTGAATCTAACCAAGGACTCACAGCTGATATCATTTATTCCCATGTGTTATGTTCTCTGATCACAAAAAACATTTATTTAAAGCCAAGACTAGTTGTCTCACTGAAGGAGAGAGAGAGAAAAAACACGTGTTCACTATTTGTATGAAGCAAACGATCTGTGCCGTTTAATATTAGCATATACCTTAACAACTAATACAACTCTGTGATCCTTACAGATCCACACTACATACAACCAGTTTACAACAGCACCGAGATGACATGTTATTTCCTGTGAACAGGTAATTCCTGGAGAAAGCTCCTTTCTCTGAGTTTTACATTTAAATCCACATCAGTCATGAAGGAGGGGTGGAAATGAAGAGCAGGATAAGCTTAAATTTGGAGATTTAAAGCCTTAGCCATGAAGGAGAGATGAAAGAGAAGGAGAACCACACTGTAAATGAGGCTTAAATCTTCCTGCCTGGTTGAACCAATAAGGATTATGTCAGTGAAAATCAAGATTTAACTGTTAAACCTGAGGAACAAACACTGACACCTGGATTAAATCCAAAACAAAGGAAATGTAACAATGGAGCTAATGTTTCGTATCGAGACTAAAGGGCCTAATCACACTGGAAGAAACCTACACTGTGTCAGGTATGAATCTGTCCTTGATTCAGTTCCTGAATTTGCGTCTTTAGGATCACGATGATTCAAGATTCAGTTTTTCACACCCCCTCAAATATTCTGCAAAAAAAAAGTGACCGTTTTCCACAATAAATGAATCCTATCCATGACCACTAATATGAACCAAAGTCAACAAAAAAATCTAACTCGATGCTCCACAAACAGAATTCTTTGCTACAAATAATGAGGACGGCTTTTTAGAACTTCCCAGAACACTGATCTTAATTAACTAAATAAGTCATTAGCCCCAAGTCATTAGCCAGAATCATGTTGTTTTCTTGTGTGTTATCAATCAAAAACTTTGCTCTCTGTGCTTCATCATTTTTCGCTGGTTAAAATCCGGCATCCTTAAGATCCATTTCTATTAAACTCACATGTTTGTAAGTTGAGGGGAACTTTTTTTATCCTGTTATGTACAAGGAGACCCGTTTGGCAGTCATTAAATTGCATTTTAATATCAAAGCCGTTTGTTACTGTTCTACACTCGCTGTGTCTGTTTCTCCTCAAACTATTATTTGAAGAGGCTTTCAGTCTTAATTTACACTGTGACTGTAGATTTTACAGTGTGACACGCACCCACGAGCTGACACATCATGAAGTGTCAGAGTTTTATTGTCAGTGAGTGAACAGTTGTTTCTCAGAGCCAGCTTCATAGAAATGGGCAGGTGTAAAGACCCAAGCGAATCTGACAGGGGATAAATCGACTGGGTCTGAGCATTTCTGAAAGGGCATCCGACAGACCACCAACCAGTGATATGAGGTGTTGAGGGGCGGGGAAGTGCTGGAACAATTCGGATCAATGGCGGCTCCAACTTACAGCTTCCAGGATTTAAAGGATCTGCTGCTAATGTGTGGGTGTCCGATACCACAGGACACGTTTAGAGGTCTGTGGAGACCATGCCTTGGCAGATCAGAGCTGTTTTTTGCAGCACATCTAGGACTAATTGCGCATTAGGCAGCAATAGTGTTTTGGCTCATTAGGGTTTGTAGGCACCTTACCTGAGTCAGACTCTACAATTGTAAAGGAAGGGCAAATCACTACATTGACGAGCACTGATTCTTAAGGTGCCTGGCTTTACTAACTAATAATTCAGCATGTAGAGCCTACATGATCACAAGCAAGACAAAGTACGAGACGACATGATATGAGAAGCCTTTATTAATCCCACAGTGGGGGTTTGTTTTAGTTAAAGCACCGAAGAGGATAGTGCAAAATATTCCTGCAAACATTTGTGGAAAAAGAAATATAAACCCAAAATATGCACAAATTCAGATTGTCCAAATTCCTCTGTATGTACAAATAACTGTATTGCACATATCAATGGTGCTGCACAGATTCTTTCATGAGCACAAATACTGATAGAGAACTAATAAGATTGCACAGATTTTATAAATGTTGATTTCACTGTAAGCAGAAAAATGATGTTCATGCACAGACTCTTGTAGAAAAGAGTTTTTTAAATGTAAAACATTTTCCTGAATCCCAAATGTGTTGCTTAAAATACCTGAGACTACACAATTTCTGCCCACGGTTTAAGATGCAACACATCTACCAGATGTAGAGAAAGTCCAATATTCACTCGCTTTGTTTTCGTCTCCACCAACTCCTAAGAGAGAAACATCCGGTTCTTTGGCTGCTAAATGCTCCACAGTTTTCACCAGCAAGTCACAAACTTGCTACTAACCGTCTTCTGTTTGGTCCTGAGCCGCTGGTTGACAGTAGGTTCATCTTTTCTTTGCTGAACAGCTGCTTGTTGCTGTTGTTGGGATCCTGGTTGATGAGAGTTGCACTGACTGGGAGTGAAAATACAGAGCTAGCGAGGTGAAGCAGTGATTTTTCATCCCCACGCTGAACACCTTTTAAATTTTAAAACGTAGAAATCCAACCTATTGTTAGCGCAGAAATGACCAATTAGTGTAGCTTAATGGACAAAGTAGGAACACTCAGAGGGAAATGGAGGTGAAGGACAACAGGAAGCGTCAAGAATCAAGTCCATACGAATTGTTCAGAAAGGAGGTATTCAGTATTACCTCCATCATTACATATAGAAACAGTGAAAGCACATTCATTCATGAATAATTCACTCCATTCACTGGATAAAAACATCTTGATAAAAGCCTTTTTTCAAGTCTTAGCCTTCAGTGTTGGTAGATGGTGAAGATTACGTGCCACTTGTCTTTCATATTTTTCAAAGTTGTCTTCTCGTAGGTTTCAGTAATGCATACTTTCCCTGCTGTTATTACAGCAGCTTGGTGGCCTTTTCAGTGGATTTCTGCCTTTTCTGCGTTAATGGAAAATGATAGGTTTGACACTGTTGCTTTTGTTGGACACCTTTCTTTACGAATGACTGTATGACTGGTTGACGGGTATAACAGGTGCATTCAGGTGTCATTTTCTTCATTCCAAGTGAAAAGAAATTCTCGCTTAAGGAAGGACAACTGTAGTCAACGCATCAGGAAAGAGTTTTTTTATTGGATTTATTCATTTTTTAACCAAGAAGCATTTTGATTTACGGTAACACATGGAGAATTATATATAATTCACCCCCAGAGCTGTGAGCGAGCACCACCGTCGCTGGTAGGCTGTTAATTTGAAACATTCGCAGCAAGTGTTGACAGTCGGAGCAAACAAGCAGAAGTTAATCTGAGTTAATCCGCAAATGAAGCAGCATTTTCGGTGTATCGAACATCTGCAGAAAGTGTTTTCTGTCATTGACATAAAAGCTTAAAAACACTCAAACCTGCAGTGACGGTGAATGAAAACAGTATTTTTTCACTCTGACTGTGCTGTATACCACAGGATCATCCACTGAATGAATGTAGAGCGATATAGTACGGTGTGCTGTCATTTCATTCTCAGCGTTCTCAGTGTTACAGTCAGCGAGAGGGCTGCGTTTCACAGATCGCATGTGAAATGCTCTGTGTTTTCAGGCTAGTGCAGCTGTTTGACTGCTTGACAGATCTTCTTACGAGTTGCCAAAGGGTTTGGAAGCCCAGTTACCTACCACTAAGACCACTGTGCTGCAGCTGTAGCCAAGATTAAGAAGCTTTTCATTTCTGCGGCGCTCCTATTTACCACCACTTTACTTACATACGTTTCCAAATTAATCAAAATTCTGTACTCCCACATAAAGTCCCAGAACTGACCTCAAAAGGGAGTCCCGCTAACTTCTTTGTCTCGACGTTTAGCCTGTTTGTGTACTCATGTCTTTTTCTCTGCTTCTTTTCCAGCTCCTTTACCGGTCAGTCAAAACCTGAAGGACTATGACTGATAAACCAATCTCCCATAAAGTGATCCAGCTGGGAAGATAGAACATTTGTTACCCCCCCACATCCTACGTCTCCTCCAGAAAAATGAGGACTATCTTGGTGGGTGTTGTGTGGCTCTGTCTCGGCCTGTCCCTGGATGCGGTGTCTTTGAAGGGACGGAGGACGGACACGCTGGACGGAGAGGGAATAGAAGCAGCCATCAAAGGAGAGAAGCCGCTTAAAAGAGTGAGACGAGGCTGGATGTGGAACCAGTTTTTCCTGCAGGAGGAGTACACGGGCAGCGAGTACCAGTACATTGGCAAGGTAGGAGCTGGGCCCCGGTTTTCGGTTCCATTAAATGATGACATTCACCAAAAATAAAATTCCCTTGATTAGTTGGAAAGACACTGATGAGCGATCCGTTTGTCCTTCTTTCCTAAATTTCTGGCTTTACTGATATGAATGTATGCTAAAGTTAACCACTCTTAACCCATTTCGCTCATGATTTCTGTGCCTGCAGCATAATGAATTACCACCGTTAATTAATGCCACTCAAGTGTGTCCAAAAAATTAGTGATGCGTACCAGTTAATATAGTTTTCACATGAAGATTTACACACTAAATCCAAAACTGATTGCTTTTGGATGTCAACCTCCAGCCACATAAAAACAATGGTAATAATATTTAAATGTAGATTGTGCAACTTTCGAGTGAAGACGTAATCCCTCTGTTACAGATGAGAAGAATAATTTATAAGCAATTAATAACACTGTGACTATTCTCTACAGCATGCTTTTAACGTGATCATTATCTCGTAGCGATCACTTGAGCACCGACTTGCAGCTTTTTTACGAAATCAGTCGGTTCGCCTTAAAGCTGCGTTAATCAATATTCCACTCAGCTCCTCTGAAGTCATGTTCTTAAGTAGGGCTACACCATATATGTGCACAATAAGTCACATTGCAGGAAATCTAATGTGAATAAAGGCAATTTAATGCAACCACATCATGCTACAACTTTTTTTTTTAGCTCCTTGATCTCAAAAGAAAACTGGTTTTCCGCGACTAATTCACACGACATGACTGTCTGATAGAAAACGCTTTACTCTGATTTAAGGGTTCTTGGATGCGCTGAGCTTTTTAAGTGTATTTGCACGACACGGAGTATGTTGACATGCAGGCTGCATAGCAGAACGAGCAGGAGAGAAACACTGAAAAAGGCAGATTAGGTTGCGAAAAGAAACGCCAGGCTCTTGTGCTGATATACCGAGGTGCTGTGATAGCAGGTTCCGTTTTGAATCCAGTTCCTCTAGTGTGCACAAAATTCCCAGTTCTATTAACTTCAGATGCAAACAAATGTCTTCTGTTTTGGAAATATTGTCAACAACAGGCTTATCAAAACGGCTATCGCTGAACGCTGCTCGTGCTCATAACTACCCATCAACAGCAGATTTAAATTATATTTTTTTACAAAACAGGTTAACTGGGTTTTTTTTTTGTCCACTTGTTCTCTTTCAAAGATTGTGAGTGGAAAAAACACGTGTTTAACTGCAACCTCCTCACCAATCATTTGAGTTCATTAACCTCCTAGCTGTGAATCAGGACCTCCGCTGATCCATTGTTTGGACCGAGCGTAAAAGTCAGTATGTTTCTGCTGTTTACTTTGTGTCAGAACAATCTATATTAATCATTATTCAACTGCTGCTGCTCCTCGTCTCATTTTCAGGTTGATGCTGCGGGTTGTAAAAATCAATGAGACTAGCTTAAGGTAATGTTAGTTGATGAAACACTCAGTATTTCTGGCTTCTCGCTCTACAAGTGATCAAACGTACGGAGGGAACCTTTCACCTGTAGCTACTTGCAGATGGTGGCAGCTGAAGCAACTGATCGGATTGGATACGCAAAGAAAGAAAGATGTTCATTTATTAAATACATGCAGAGTCATTAAAGTGGGATGCAACCCCAATCTTTGGGATTGTTTACCCACAGTTTGCTTGTTGCTGGACACCAAATAGCAAAAATATAGGTTTGCAACTGAAAGATGAACACAGGGGAGCTGATAAATACAAAAAAAGAGAAAAAGCTTCAAGTGTTCAAATGTGGCACCTGACGTGGTGATACATACACATATTGGGGGTCATTTCCTGCACAGAAAAACATACATCAACATGGAGTAATCCCATACATACTCCACACTTTCACTACAGCAGCGCAGAGCACACCCTATAGAACTTGTATTTCAGAGTCTGAATGCGTCGCAGTTGTGTGCTTGCTGCGGAGCGGTGAAAGCACAGCTGCTGCAGCTCTGTTCCCTCAGACGTCGCCGTGAAAAGCTTTCACAACACAATTAATGGAATCTCTAAAATTGTTATAGTACGATATTTTTTGCTCTCCCCAACTGTAAACACTGGTGTTGGCACATTCGGGACAGAGAGGCTGACGAGAGGAAAATGGCAGGATAGGCACAAAGACAGAATGTGCAAAGTGAAGTGAATGTATCAGGAAGGTGGAGACTTTCCTCACTCGGCGGTGCTGAGAGACATCCGCACGTATGTAACGACTCGCTCGGTGGATGTGCTAATATCCGCAACATCCTGTTTATGTCTGGTGCGTCAGCTCTGTCTCTTCTAGTCTCATCAGTGTTTTACAATACATGAATACTTGACATATTTTGTATACATTCACCAATACTTTCAAATATAACAAGTCCTACTGTTCATCCTTTTTATTATTATCAAACTTGCATTAACTAATTCTCTCAGTATGTTAATGTTTTTAAACTATATGCGCTGTGCAGTATTATTAATTATTAATAAATGATTGAAAATGACAATAACTTTATTACTGTTAAGTTCACGTGTAGGGTTTTTGTTCTTATGTCTGTTAAAACAACCAGACACACTGTGTTGAAAAGACAAACCCCAAAGTACAACCTCAGAAAAGTGAGTACACCTGATGACTCGTGTCACATCCAGTTACGGTTTAATTGCATGAACAAGGCCACAATAGAACCTGCAGCTCTGTTAGCTTCAGTAGGAAACTACAAGGGACAAAAGCATTAGTAGCTCCTGAACATGTACAACAGCGTTTAGGAGGTACAGCAAGATCCATATGATCAATAGCACAAGGAGCACTGACATCCTCGGAAAAATTACGGCACACATAATTCATGCAGCCTTGCATAGAAAAACAGACAGTAAGTGCTTCTGAATTGACACGAGGATTATCTGTGGAAACGTAGACGGTGTGAAGAACAGGTCAGAGAGGGAAACGATCGCTCACAAAACTGAACAAAACGGTCCCATCAAACTTTGCCAAAATGAATAAAAAAGAAGGCTGCTAAATGCTTGGCAGCACATTCTTATGATCAAATTAGACCAAAATAAATGAGTTTGGATCGGTGTCGTTGGTTGGACCTGGCTACGACTACCTCGGTGACTGCACATGTGGGTGGGAGTGTGACGATACGGGGCTGCATGAGTGAAAAACCTGCAGAGGAGACGGCATTTATAGCTGTGTGCAACTTTGTGCCCAAATACTGAAGGAAAACATGAGTCCCAGTCTCAAGACATTCGGGAGGAAAGGAATATTTAAGACGAGACAATGATCCCAAATACCATTATCTATGCCATCCATTATCTATACACCGCTTAATCCTCACTAGGGTCACGGGGGGCTGGAGTCTATCCCAGCTGACTTCGGGTGAAGGCAGGGGACACCCTGGACAGGTCACCAGTCTATCACAGGGCTACACTTAGAGACAGACAACCAAGCACACTCACATTCACACCTACGGACAATTTAGAATCACCAATTAACCTCAACGTGTTTTTGGATTGTGGGAGGAAGCCGGAGAACCCGGAGAGAACCCACGCTGCACGGGGAGAACATGCAAACTCCACGCAGAAAGATTCCGGTGCCCCCACCGGGACGCTAACCGGCAACCTTCTTGCTGTGAGGCAACAGTGCTACCAACTGCACCACCCTGCAGCCCCGATGCCAAATACTTAGTTTAAAAAAAAAAAAATCCAGGAGGAAACTTTTGGAGCTTTGGTGCTAGGCTACTTTTTTTTGGTTTATTTTATTTTATTTTAGTTTTATTGACACGAGAGGTTTCCATTGTCGTCGATGTAAAGACATTGCTTTGATGCATAGTGTAGATGTCCAGGTTTCAGCACTATCCAATCTGTATCATAAAATTCATCTTCAGCAATAAAGGCAACAATAAAAATCTCTCTGAGACGTACAGATATATATAAGAATTATGCACACGTTAGCTAAGAGGATGAGCTCACATTTCCAAGTTTCCCATCAGCCACAGTTTAACTTTCTGAAATTCAAATACCTCAAATTCTTCTGGAAACCCCCCCCCACAAAAACATGTTGTTGGTTCGTCCCAATCTCCTGAGCTGCTCCATCCTGATTATCGTTGGCCATAGAACACAAGCAAAACAAACTTGTTTGCAAGTGTGGATTGTTAAACGTGCTCTTTATGTAGCATGGCTGCATCGAGCGCCACAGTACTTGAGTAATCAGCAGCAATCAGCGCTCCAAACCCCAAACCTTCAGAAAGTTCTGTCCTTCAAACATTGACTGTTTGAGTGTAAAATTATCTGATTTAGAGCATGACTCCTCCAGTGGAGACACAAGATGAAGTTCACATGCCTGAGGACTCAACACCTTGTTCAGACAATTTGTTGGCTTTCCTTTTCATTTCTCACCTGTTTGCATCTGTACCTCTTACGGTCAGGTCACGGTTTCTGTATAGCGGTGCACCAACAGATGCTCACTTGAAAGCAGAGAGTGGCGGTGCCCCTATTCTTACTGGAATATGTACACGCTGGTCTGCATGTGGTTGCATTCACCCTCGTATTGAACATTGTAAACGCACAAGGCTCTCATCGATGTTTCTAAAAGGCTGTGACTTTGCACCTTTTAGTTTTTTTGCAAGATATAGCAGTTAGTTACAGATTGGTCGGCAGCTCTGTGTCAATGTGATTATCCCTGAACTGTGCCGAGCGCAGTAGGCACACATAGCACAGATTTTCCAGGCAATTTACAACTTCCTACTGTGTTTTGGCAGCATCGATGGAGAGCGTGTACGAATCAAAGCACCTCCAAAGTCCTGCAGTGACTACTTCAATTACAGCTCTTCTAATCATGAATGAGAATAGTGTGGATGATGGAGAATTCCTTTTAGGAAAGCATTTGTTTTGAGCACCATTTTTCTGGCACACGTGCCATCAACGTGCTTGACTTGACGGACACGGGCAGATGGCAAAAGTAACGTCACGTGGACGCTTTCAGACAAGCCGATACGCAAAC